ATTTCCGACCCGGACAATTTTAGGGGTCTACATTGGTCTTCTTGAATGGGAGTGGAAAATGATCTTTCCTTATAGCCTTGTTGAGCTTTCTGTAATCAATACACATTCTCCACCCTGTGGCCGTCCTAGAAGGAATCAACTCATTTTTCTCATTCTGAATCATCGTCATGCCACCCTTCTTTGGAACCACTTGCACAGGTCTCACCCATGGACTATAAAAAATTGAGTAGATCATTCTGGCATCCAATAGCTTAATCACTTCCTTCTTCACTACCTCCTTCATCACGGGATTAAGTTGCCTTTGTGGCTGAGCGACTGGTTTATATTCGTCCTCCATAAATATTTTATGCATACAATAAGTTGGGCTAATTCCCTTGAGATCATAAATAGACCAACCAATTGCCCCTTGATAGAATTTCAAGACTTTCACTAGCCTTTCCTCCTCCAATGTGGATAAGTAACTACTGATGATAACCAGTTTTCTCCCACCTTCTTCCAAAAACGCATACTTGAGATGGGAAGGAAGTATTTTCAATTCAAGCTTAGGTTCATTCACCTCCCCTTCCTCCATCAAGTCTTCTATACGCACAAAATTAGGTTTCACCTCCTTATATGTGTCAAGGCTCTTTAAACATGCCTCAATCTCTCTATCTTCCTCTTCTTCATGGAGGTATTCTACCACATTAATTAGGACTTTCTCCAAAGGGGTAGAAAAAGAGACTTGCTTCTTGGTGTCTTTCACAAGGTCATCAAGTACATCCACCCGGAAACAACTACTCTTGTCTTTAGGATAGTGCATGGCATCAAAGTCATCAAAATTGACTTCTTCATCATCCACTCTCACCTTGAGCCTCCCATCGTCCACATCAATTAGAACTCTTGCATTTTCATTGAATGGTCGCCCAAGAATAAGAGGTACATCAATGTCTTCTTCAATATCCATACCCACAAAGTCAGCGGGACACAAGAAATGGTCCACCTTCACCAGAACATCCTCCACTATGCCATGAGGATATTTTACTGATCGATCAACCAACTGCAGGGTCATGAGAGTAGGCTTCACCTACAAATCACCAATCCTTTGAAGCATAGGTAAGGGCATGAGATTTATGCTAGCCCCCAAATCAAGCAAGGCTTTCATAATAGCTAAACTCCCAATAGTGACTCGAAGAGTAAAACTACCAGGGTCCTTGGATTTAATTGGCAACATCTTCTGAATAATAGCACTACAAACAGCTTCCAATGTAATAGTCTCCTCTTCAAAATATTTTCTCTTTTTGGTGAGGAGCTCCTTCATGAACTTGGCAAACGTAGGCATTTGTTCCAATGCCTTTGAGACGGGGATGTTAATATCCAAGGTTTTGAAAATCTCCAAGAACCGAGTATATTGCCTCTCCTTATCTCTTCTCTTAGGAGCATAAGGATATGGAAGGTTCTTGGTGGGTGTTTTTGTTTACAATTCTGCCGCCCTTGATTTCCCATATAATTAACTTCTTCACCTTAGGAACTGGGTGGTCCGGCAAAATAACCATTAGGGTGGTCACCTCCACAAAAATTGCACAATGACACTTGTTGCATAAGAGGGGCATTAGCTTACATAGCTTAAAGTTGTTGAGGTAATTTGGCCATCTGTTGATTCAATGCTTCAATTTGTTGAGAAAGTAACTTGTTTTGAGCTAAAACTGCATCTTGAGTACTCAACTCCAGAACTCCCCTCTTGTGTGCAGAGCTTCTACCATGCTGGCTTCTAAAATCTATGGATGCCATAGACTCAATGATGTTAATAGCCTCCTCAGCTATTCTGACCATAACTGACCCTTCAAAAGAAGTATCTAATATCATATTGGTTTAAGGTTGTAACCCATTACAGAAAGTTTGAACTTACAGCTCCACCTCAAAACCATGGTTAGGGCATCTCCTCAACAATGATTTGTACCTCTCCCATGCTTCACATAATGGCTCATCCACACCTTGAGCAAAAGGTAGAAATGGCAGTTCTGGCTTCAGTGTTCTTGGAAGGGGAAAAAACCTGGCTAAGAATTTAGTCTCCACATCCCTTCAAGTGGTTAGGCTTTGGTTTGACTGGGAATAAAGCCAAACCTTAGCATTTTTGTTCAGAGAGAAAAGAAACAACCTCATGAACAATGCCTCTTCATCAACCCCTAAAACTCCAACTGAACCACACAACTCATAGAAAGTGTAGAGATGAGTTTGTGGGTCTTCATGATCCAGGCCAGAAAATTGATGAGAGATAATAAGTTGTAGAAGTGCGGGTTTCATTTCCGCAAGTCTCTCATTCATTGTGAGCCTCATGATGCTAGAGAATTCCCTTGGGCTAGTGTAGGTGAACTCAGGAATAGCAAAAACAACAACTTCAGGAATATGAATGGTTGGTTGACCAACTTGATTTTCTCTATTTCTCCTTCTCCTCGTGTTTCTATTATTCCTCCTTTCCATGCGTTCAATCTCATGATCACTCAAGAACGGCTCAGAAGAATTGGTCCCTCTAGTTCAAATAGTACCTTGCATACAAGAGAAAATAGAAGACTAGAGTGCACAAGTCAGCTCAAAGCATTCATTGCTAAAGTAAAAGTAACAATAACAATAAAGGAACAAGTCAAAAATAGCTATAAATACTAAATTGCCTTAACTAATCCCCGACAACGGCGCCAAAAACTTGTTGAGATTTCTGTTGAAATTAACTTTTGTCCTTGTTATAAATCATTTTTATTCTAACAACGGACTCAAACATGACAAGTATACCGGTCGTACAAGTAGTAAATTTAAATCATATCCACAGGGACTAGTTAGGTAAAATAAGCATTTAATGACTATTCGTGGCTAAAGAATAATTCCGAATTTTTCATAGATTGTCATGCAATTGAAGTAAAGGTTATCACTTGTTGGAATTTTAAATCTATAAAACTATTTATGTGTATGTGGAAGGGATAGAAAATGATATTGTGAGTTTGTAAGATTGTGGGGTCAAATATCACCGAACTTCACTATGATGAATCATTGTTCTATTATTGCATTCATTGCTTAGTCAACCCATAAGTCTACTCAAACCTAATCTCTTAGAGCAAGAGCCTAGGTGCATATATTGAATATCAATTCCTTAAGTATCCAATATATATACCTACATTACGGGTTAGGGTTTAAGACTACTAATGGGCCAAACTCCATTCCTAGATACATATCCCACTAGGTATTTTGTTTCAAAGCTAGTTTCAAAGCCTATTTTCCAATACCCAATGGACTCTATATCAAGCAAAGGAGAATCAATCCAAAGAAAGCATTAATAATGGAAACATAACACAACAATGAATGAAACAAACATATATATCATTGATAAAGTGAAGATTACACAAGAGTTACGTTGGTTACATCTAACCCCACAAAATAATGGGTAGAACCTCTCAAAACAATGTGAGTAAAACAAAAATAGAGATGGAAGAGAAGATGGAAGAACCGAAGGAATGATCCCCACACAAACAGTCCCAAGCACCGGGAATTCCCTCCACAACTCCTAGAAATCGTCCTATGTGTGAATGAAGGGAGAAGCCTCGAAGATTTGATCAAATACGAGCTAGGTGAGTTAGCATAAGGTTTACACGCCCGGTGCATTATACTTCGCGCCCGGTGTAGGGTCTTCTAGAGAGTTTAGATGCTCTTTGTCTTAAGGCACACCCGACGTGGATACTCTTGTGCTTGGCGTGATGTATTCTAGAGAGTTTAGCTGCTCTCTGTCTCCAGGCATGCCCGAAATAGAGACTCTTGTGCCTGACGTAGTGCTGATTTACAGAGTGTGTTACTCTTTATCTTGAGCAAGCCCGACGTTGGTACTCTTGCGCCTGGCGCAGATACTCCACTCCTGCTCCTCAGCTATTTTAATTTCCAATCCAATGGGTCTTCAACCTCCACTCTTCAACTTAATACCTGCACAAAAAATAAGGTGTATCAGGGTATAGTCAGATAATTTTAGGGTTAGCTATATTTGCACAAAATTGAATCAAAAGAGAACAATTATATTGCAAGAGTGCATGGGGTGAGTGGAATTGTTCAATAATTCCTATCTAAAAGTAAGTATAAATGAGACTTAACACTTATTTAGTTCGGGAATTCTTTTATTCCTTGGGCGTTCTTACCAAACCCCTATCCTGATTGATAGCTATTTTTGAACAAGATTTGTGCTACCAGGTCCTTGTTTGGAATTTTTCTACATGAGCAATTTCCAATGCTTGGAAGGCTGTTTCTAATGCTTCTTCAGCCGCTTCTACATAAGAAATAGACAATGGTTTACTGATAATCATATCTTCCTGTGCTTGAATGACTACCATCTTATTATCCACTACGAACTTGATCTTTTGATGAAGCGTGTGTAGACACCAAATTTCGTCCAGACCAACAAAAGCAATGAAATGGACGTCTATCATCAAAGAAATGGAGCTCCCAAGCATGGAAATAACAGGACATGACATCAGAAGGCCTAAAAGCCCAAACAAGCTGGTTTTACGGACCGTTCCCAATTTCGAACGGCCCGTTCCAAGTTCCTAAAAGGGCCTAAAACCCTAGTTTGGAACGGGCCGTTCCTAAACTGGAACGGGCCGTTCCAAGTTATTAAAATGGCCTAAAAACCCTTGTTTGGAATGGTCGTTCCAGCCTAGACAATCATGTGCTAATCTCATCTCTGGAAAAGGCTGTTCTAGTTTCAGAACAGGCCGTTCCAGTTACAAAATTAACACAGAACGGTCAGATCCAGAACGGGCCGTTTAGATTTTGGAACGGGCCATTCTGGAAAATTTTTGATGTCTATAAATAGACGACTCGGGCACAGTTCTCAGAGCCACAAAATTTCGTCCAAGTCTCCTTAGAGTTCAAAATTTCTCTCTCTTTCTCTCCTATTGTATTTCTGGAGTTTTGTAAGGCATATTGTAGGATGAAAGGTTGCCACAAAGCCCCTAAAAGTATCCATATTTGAAGATTCAATAGAGCTTGTTCAAGAGGTATTTCAGTTAATTTTGGTATTTTAGTCAATTTTATTCTCTCTCTCTTAATTCTTATCTTTGATAAACATTGCTATAATAAAAATAATCATGTAGACATTTTAGAGTTAATTGTTTAATTTAAATTTCAAGCATGTAAATAATTATTAATAAAGGGGATCTAATATTTAATTTATTAATTCTTTTCACGTTAACTTCATCATAGGGTACCGATTTAGGACGCTGTAGGGGTGCTTGATACCTTCCCTACAAGTAACTGTACACGTAACTGACCCCGAACCCAATTCTGGTTATCAAGGCCATTATTGGATTTTTAAAAAACCTTTCTTTTTCGAATGTTTTGAGTAAAACATTGGTGGTGACTCCATGAACTCTATTTTCAAAAGCATTAATTAAGGATTAGTCTGGTGTCCAGGCATTCCTTAATTGATGAGATCTTTAAAAGGATGTCTAAACCATTAGTCGCGAGATCGGAAATTTTTGGGTTGCGACAGATGGCGACTCCACTAGGGAACTTTTAAGAGGGTTAGGCCCAAATAAATGATGAAGTTAATAAAATAAGAATAATAATTTAAATTTTGCTTGTTTAATATTTGTTTGCTTGTTTAAATTTCGCACCTGTTTGAATAAAAATTGTACACAAACCTTTGCACACAACAGTTCTCCCTACACCCGGGGGCATGAGGGTATTAAACATAGGGAGTGGTTGACGTACAACCGGCCCAAGTTTGGCCATGAAGCCTGTGAGCCTTGTCGAAAATCACACTTAAGGTGATAACTGGTTACTCTAGCCCGAAATACTGTGACAGGCCTTAGAGTTTGCTAGGTGACGGCGACAGAGATACTAGGTCCTATAATGGGGGCACCTTGGGGGCTTTAAGACCAAAGTGAGGATAATTAGAACTGTCCTATACAACGCACTTTTCTTGACAGGGACCACAAACCAAGGATTTGAACATGATCGTTCGTGGGTGTACGTTGATTGAGCATGTGTGTGTGCATTTGTTTGTATTATTATTTTTTATTGAGATGGATCGGAATTTTAAAAACAAGCAACGTGATAAAAAAAATATAATATAAAAAATTTTATACCCCTTTGTACATTCTTAGGTCATAATTCCATTAACATCATATAGGTAGTTTTCCTTTTTTTTAAAAAAATGAATAAAAGAAATCTCATATTTACCATGCATCATTCCCCTTTAGATAATGGAAACATGATAAAGATTAAGCAAAAAAAAATGATATGCATTCTAGATTAGCTCATTAATTTCATTAATTTTATTTTATTAGCTAAGGAGGATTAGGTTGCGGTATGTATAGAAAGTTAAGAAAAGTGAATGCTTCCATATACGACAGTATCTGCGCTCTAAAGAAAAGCCCAAATCGATCTTTAAAAAATACTATGGTTCGGTCCTTACTTTAATATGTTTGTTAAAGTAAGTCTTCTTAGAATCTAATATAGATTCTCGCTTAATACTGTCAAAATCTATTTAAGTATTCACAGATAAACAAATCAATGAGACTAATATTTATCATTCTTAAGTTTCTCTCCATTTTGCATTACATTCATTTAGAACATATCCTTCCTTGTAAAAGAATAAATAAGAATAAAAAGGGAAATTAACCTATGTGCGTTAGTCGAAAGTAATGGGATGTAAGTCATGCATAAAGAGCTTAGGGTAAAGAACTCCACAATCATCAAGACACCAACTCTTGCCCCAAGAGGATAAAGCTGTGTCGTGTAATCGTGAAATCTAAGAGAAATAGGAGAAACGACTAGGAATGGATGCATCCACACTCCTAACGAGTTGCAAGCTAATAAAGAGAACTTGAGGAGGACGAATCCCTCAAACACTAAGGCAAAGTGAATAAGAGCTTTCTCGAAAGGTGATTTCAACAAGAGAGAAGCATTGCTTGTTAAGAAGCTGCTAGAATGAAAATCCGCAAAGGGCGTTGTAGGCAAAACAAAAAACAAAAAGAAATGTTTGTTCGAGC